ATTTTATTCAACAAAAATATTATTATGTCATCAAGACATATTTAAAGTAAGTCCAATGTAGAGCCAAACAATTAGCTAATTGTATGGCAATTTATAAATTTCATCTTTGAATAGATAGAAGATTTGCCTGTTGTTCACCCAAAAGCTGTAAAAGATCGATTTTTCGTTGTCCTATCTTTCAAATCTCAACGATTTAAATATACAAACTTTGTATGTTTAACAAATTTATTTATTAGATTTATTAGAATAAATTGGTTAATTATAAATTTTATCTTTGACATAAAAAAATTTAATTTCAATTGCAATTTCATTCCGCTTTGAATCTCATCGTATCTAAACGTATCTAAAAAGAATAAGAGTATGTCATTTCTTATATTATTAATAAATAAATAAATTTGAATTAAATCTCCTCTTTTAAGTTCTATGAAAACGAGAAGATTTTTTTCTTAAGAAAAATGGTAGAAAAAAATAAATCAGAGATCTTCGGGAGTAATCATAAAAAAAATAGTTTTGGTATAATAAATAAATCATTTTTTGCAATATTATAGTATGTGTTATAGTTATATAAATATCATTGAGTTTTTAAATTTTTTTATCTTTTGATATCTTGATCCTTGATATAAAATTTTATTTTATGTAAAGATTGTAATTTAAATTATTCATATAACATATGATAATCATGAAACATCATTTCCATAATTTGTTTATCGTGTTAAATAAACTTCCACAATTTAATATCATACCATGCAAATGAATATAATAAATGAAAATTAAATAATATGCAAATTTTCTGTGTTATATTCTAAACTAATGAAAAGATCAAGTTGATATAAAAATAGGATAGTCGACACAGAAAAATAATTAACTTGACATTATGTATAAATATTTCTTAATGATTAAAAAAATAATTAATTCGAAAAGAAAAAAAGCGCTAAAAATTTAAACATTTAAAAAAAATTTTTTTCAAGATATTGAACCAATTTATTCTATTCATTTTAAAAAAATTTTATAAATTTGTCGAATATCTTTAAAAAGTGGGTTTTGAATGTCAAAACGATGAAAAAAAAAATGATATACACATATATTTCATAAAATTTACTTAACAATAAATAGTATAAGTTTTATTATTTAACGAAGCAGCAGTTATAAGTATTTTAAGTTAAGCAGAGTGAGATGATTGTAGAACGAAAACGATGAAAAATAAATATAAAAATATTTTTAATTCAGTATAATGTAATATACAATATATATAATATTACCATTATTAAAAAAAATGTATCACTTTTTGAAATTTATATAATTTGTCATTTAACAAGGATTTATTTCGAATAAGTTATATCAAATTCTACAATATTCGACATTATACAATGTATCATTTTATTTAAAATAATAAATGAATTGTTATATTATATTTAATTTTGCTAGAATTCAAAAGCAAATCAAAATATTTAATAAGAAATTCTAATAAGAAAAATTAAAAAGATTGAATATTTTTATATACATAAACTTGTTTATTTTAATTGTTTTCATATACAAAAATCTGAAATGTGATTTGATTCAATTTGAATCAAATATTGCATTGAACGTAGCGATTGACAAATTAACAAATTTCACTTGTACTGTTTCTTATTCTTATTCAGAGAAAAAACAATAATTAAAAATAAATATCATACATTAATAAAATTATAAATTAATATTATAATTAAAAATGCATAAATATTACAATTTTTTTATATGTGTCTCGAATGAATATAAATTCATTAATTTCTCTCTACTTTTATTTTATACATATATAATTTATGAACTAACTAAGATCAGGATAAAACAATACTGTTTTGACAAAAAGAAAGATTGTTCATTTAAACTTTCGTATTCTTGAATTTAATACAAATATAAGATTCGATTTCAGATATTATTATTTCATTTTTTTTATATTTAACTTATTTTTCTAACATTCACGATTAATATTGAATTGTTAGCAATGCTATTTCATTAACATATTGTTGCGCAATCAATAAATCTGAAATTTGATGAAATTAAAAAATATATTTAAAGTAATAAAGTTTTTAATATTTTCATATGAAACTTATGAAAAATTATATGATAATAAATAATAATCGAATATAAAAATAATTTTATTTGAGAAAATAAGTAAATAAAAATATCGTTATGCACTAGCTATGCGAAAATGTGAAAATGAAAAATTCAATGCTTACACGGATTTTTTGTAGACATAAAATATGTATGATATTATTTACGAACGAAATCAAAATGTAAATATTAAATTTCAATTATTATTTATTTTTCAGTAATCTCATATCAGAATAGAAATTTTTTGTACAAATAAAATAAAAACAAAAATAAATGTTTTTTAACTTGATATATTGATCTGAAATTCAAATTGATTCAGCTATTATTAGTAACTTTTTTGCTATATATAAATAATTAATTAACATATAAAGTAATTGAAAAAAAAAAAACAAATCTATGCGTAAGAAAACACATTCAATTTTTTAATCCTTTTTTAATTCTTATAGGAATATCTTATAGAAATCTTATTAGAAATATATTTTGATTGATATCTATGGATTTTGGCAAATAAACAAATTAAGCATCATATTGCAATTCATCTATGGATTTAAATATATAATGTTATATGATATTAATATAAAATGTTTATAATTTAAAATATTTATACCAAGCCTTACCCGAGATATATGAACTTTTCTCATGATTTTGGTATTTAAAGTACACTCTTCAAAGACATCCCGAATTTTTATTTTTAAAACTCATGGAAAACAATCGATCTTCGTTCTCCGTTGGCGAGCACTTATTGTTCACGAGATTGGAAATCCTTTTTTATTATCTGTCATCGACTTCTATTGAAACCTAAACAAAGAACGATGTTAACTGAGAAGTAATTGCCGTTTTCGAAAAGAGTTTAGTCAACACTTGTAATTACATATTTTCGATGCACTTCAGCTGACCAGACACGGCTGACTCAACATCGATTAACATCATTCTAATTCAGGAATTTTCCTCTAACTTGAGAAGATGTCACGAGCCAGACACTGACCGCAGTATTATTGGTTATTATCGTGCCCCACTAGTGATTCTCCCAAAAGAATTAAGAAGGAATTTTTTGAAGGCACGAATCTCACTAGAGTCTAATTATCGCTCGTTGTGAGCACATCGTAGTCTGAATACGATAGTTTTGTAACAGCACATCGTGTCGGATACGGATTACCTACTGTGACATTGTGAGAGATCCAGCTCTCTTATAGACACGCGTATCGCACTTATAATCGCATAATACAGTCCACTTATCGCGAAGAAAATCACATCACAGTCATATTCTAAACGTATATATATTAGTAAAAGAGCATTCGACACATGTATACATGCACTTAACAATCATCGTTCACATTATTTTTTCAGGATACAATAATTTTTCATAATTATTTGAAATTAGAATAGATATTGTGAAATTGTTTATTAATGTTCCAATCGCGAATATTTCGTAATGTAATTTTAAGTGATTTTTTTCTTCATGAATTTATAGTGAATTGAAGTGTTTCAAGTAAATTCAATTACTTTTAACAGTTATTAATATTAGATTAAAATAATATTAGAGAGAAATTGAATTTTGTTGAAATGTTGAAAGAATTCGATAATACGTGAAAAAAATTTTTTAAAATTGTTGTTAGTCAGAATTGCAAAGAATAAAAACAAATGTCATGATTCTTAACTTTTTTATCTTACAAAAGAAATTAAAAATATGCAATTTAATAAATTTAAGTAATATATATAGTACTGTTTAAAAATTCAGAATTTTTAAGAATTACGTGACACTTTATATTCAAAATTATTATTTATTATCTTCAGAATTATTTATTTAAAGTATTACTTATTTGCCTATCAATATTATAATTAATTATTTGTTTATTAATACTATAGTTAAATATAAGTTAAAAAGAAATTAGTTAAATATATAATATATATAAAATTTATCAATTCTAGTGCAATTAGATTGCTTATACATTTATTAAATGTGGTAATTTTTCGATCAGTTTCTTTATTATTTCTTGATTATTTCTTTCCACGTTTTTTTCTAAATATTTTCACAAATAAGTATCATTTTTATGATTTATATTATGCGTTTTCATTTATATATAAAAAATAATTTTTACATGTAATATATTTAATTATATTACAATATATATATATAAAATTAATTAACATTGCTATAAATGATTGACAATGCTCAAATTTGTATTTACATTTTTCAATGCCTCTAACTTTGCAATGCTTTAACCTATTTTAATAAAATTTTATGTCAAATATATAATTTACTTAGACAAAAAGCATATTTAAAATTTTCTTGTAAACTGAAATAAAAAAATCATAACTTTTTTTTTTCTTTACCATTCTAACCAATATAATTCCATTTTTTTTTTATATATGTATATTTCTTTTATACATTATCTAATTCATTGTTGAAGAAAATTCATATTGTTTGATTCAATTAAAAAGTTATTTCATTTTAATATTTAATTACTCTATATATTTAGATACTTTTCATCAATCGTTTCATCATACATAATTAAAAATGTAAATATTTATTCAGTTTTACATATGTATATTGATTCTGTCGCAATCCAACCTTTCGATTTTACGCAAGGTTTCTTTTTTTTATTCTTATTTTTAAATATCAATTATATTAAAATTGAAACATAGATCTTTGTGCTAATAAAATTTCAAATAATGTCTCTTGCAAATGCTGATTATAACACGATCAGATACTTGTTAATATATGCTCAAATACGGTAGTCTTTCGCTGAAAAAAATATTGTGCATTGCTGGTGAATTGGTATTCGGAGGATGCGAATAATAAGTCACCTCTCAAACCACAAAACACATGACATATATTATTAGTAGTAGTTAATGAACGTGATGAAGTTCAGCCAATTATAAGAAAACGTGTGATTCGATTGTATGTTGTGTGGGCTGGCTTATCTCACTAAATTCTATATTTTTTTTGGGAGGGGGGGGTGCCAACTTACAAGCAATGCAAGTATTTTTGGATGCATTTAATATCGTCATAGAAATATAATTGGACAAAAAAATTTAATATTAAATGTTATCAAGAGTTTTAATTATCAAGAGGTTTGATCGTTTATGAATACACGTGATGAATAAATTAATGTGGTTGTGCTTTTTATTACAATTGTGGTGTATGATATGTGCGTCTCAAAAAACGGATTTAGACTCGTCTATAAATGTAGAAATGTTTCGTCTATTTCGTAATTGGGCTACGCGAAATTTCGGTACGTTCGAATAATTTTATTATGTTGAAAGTTTAAAAAAAAAATTGATATGTAAATCTGAATCGCTTTGGAAAAGAATTGTGAAAGGAAGCAAATATTTGTGAAAATGATTCTTTTTTAATACGATAGAAACAGTAAAATTCTTGAAATTTATAATGTGATGGAAATATTATATATGTATAATTGTAAAATTTCAAATTTCTTTTGCTGATCATTTTTCATCGAATTAAATTTATTCTTTTGCAAATTAAATTCATATTGAGGATGTCTTGAAAAAAAAATATCATTTTGTTGCGATATTATTTGAAATTCAACCATTGATTGATTCTTTTTGAATAAATATTTTTTTTTAATTAAATTTTATGCAAAAAATATTTTAATAAATCTTTCAAACCAAATTTTTAATCCTTTGAATTAAATTTTAAACTTTTGATGAATATTATTAATTATTCTGTTGCAACTATTATTTATACATAATAAATATTTATTTGCAAATTTATTTATATATATGACATATATGATATAATTACTATATGAATGTATACAGATGAGATGAAGACATAAAATAAAAAATATAAATTTATCTATTAAAACAGAATAACTTTTTAAAATTGTATCACATAACTTGAATTTTTAGTACATACAAAAATATTATTGAAAAATTTTAATTTTAATTTTAACTAAAATCATTTTTTACAATCTTTTTATCTGAGTTTGCAATAAAAATTTAAAACATACATGCATATACATATACATACGTATGTATATAGTTATATCATATTATAGTATATATCAATTATACACACATATTGAAAATTTCATTGAAATTAGTTGATGCAAAAACAAATGACAATCATCGAAAAATAAAAAACTGTGATTTGCATTATTTTTAATTATTTATAGCTCATAATGATCGAATTTCAATAATATTTTCAGCATATATAACTAATATAAAATGTCTTTTTAATTTTCATTGTAAATTCAAATAAAAAAGTTACAAAAAGTATTCAAATTAATTGTAATTTTTTCATAGATTTTTTATATTATATGTTAAACTTCTAAAAAAATTCAAGTTGCTTGGTTTAATTTTGAAAAAATTATTTCGTTAATGAAGAAAAAGTTATTTACTTTTGTTCGTTATTGTATATGAATTATAAGTAAGAACTACTTCACATATGATTTTAAATTTTGAAAAAATAAATTTACATTCGATTTTCTATTACAATAATTTAAGAATATAAATTTATAAACTTGATTTATAAAAGAGCGAACTTGATCCATGATTTGTTTCATAAATAAATTTGATTTGAAAAAAAAAAATAATCTGCAAAAGAATGAATTTGGAATGTAAAACTTATAGTTTTAGAAAGATATTAAGATATTTATTAAAAGAGATTGATAATATTAAATATTATTAAGTAATATTATTTATTTGTTATAATTATTTGTTCAAAATTTACAGATTTAAGATTTATTTTTCATCCTATTAACAAAATTATGAATTATCAATAATTACATTTTTCTTTCCACAAAGGTATAAATGAAAGATTTATAGCGCGGTTTGAAGGAAAAATTCAAGACGAAATTTCAGCAGACGTTCCATTTCCTTGTAATTTGACAGGTAGTTAAATAAATTTATTATTGTTATTATAATGATATTCATAAAATGATATTTTTAAATATCATTTATTATCGTTATGATAATTTAATATTTTAAATTTAATCTTTAGACAGTAGATCTCCTAATGTTCCCAATTCGGTTCATCGTTTGAGACCAGGAGACATAGACGTTATTGCTGCGATGGGTGATTCTTTGACAGCTGGCGTTGGAATATTTGCAACTAATTTAATAGAATTATCTATTGAAAACAGGGGTACATCGTTTGCTATTGGTGGTGAAGGAACTTGGCGAACATATCTAACACTTCCGAATATCTTCAAAGTATGTTTATTATTTATAGATTGATAATGATTGATAATATACAAGTTCTAAGATTAAAAACGGAATAATAGTGACTATACTTTTGTCATATCAAAGAAAGTTTTTAGATAAAAATTAAATTTTTGGTTTGACAAAAAAAAAAAATTTGATTTAATTATTTTTTTTTATAGTTGTGATAGTTTTTTTTTTCTTAATAAAATTACAATATTTTTTAGTGAACCAATTTATTCAACTTATCATATTCCACAAAAAATATTAAATTATTCAAATCAAGAAATTATTATTTTAAGAAATTTATAATTAAATTTTATTTTATAAAAAAGTATTTATAAAAATATGGAACAGCTTTGATAAATTCTAAGACATCAATTTGATGAAAAAAGTTCATATATACATATATTCTAAAACTAACCTAACGTAATAATTTTAAGTTTGCATTAGATAGAATGAGACGATGATAAAGTGAAAGCGGTCAGTTGGATGTACTATAATATATTGCAATATCGCTTGTGTAATTCAAAAAAAACGAAAAAACACAAATTTATATTATATATTTTTAATGTGTACAAAAAAGACAAAAAAATAATGAAAATTAATGGGAAAAAAAAGTTAATGATATTTAAATCACTTTTAATCTCATAGATCAATTAAAAAAATTTTGTCTCTATTTTATTTGCATTAATATTTTTTATATGAATTAAAAAGAAATAATAGTCAAAATAATCTACATTTTGATCATTAGTAATATCACATCTTATAAAAATCCATATAAATACTTTTCTTTTCCATATTGTTACTGTATACAGATGATATTTTTATTCGCTACTTTTTTCAAATAAAATTAGGATGAAACAGAAATGAAGATAGGTCACATTCACTTCCTATCTCCCTTCATCTAATGCAAACTTCAATTATTATAATTCAATAAATAAATCTTAATTGATATTTTTATATATTAACTTTTGTATTTTTAGAATTTTAATTTTTCAAAAATATATACGAATATAATAATACTCTATATAGTATATATGCATCTATATATAAAACAGATGCAGAAGCGATTCAAAATGATTTTAAAATTATTTCAGTTTCTTGTCTTAGGTACATCACATTGTACAATATTTATTATTAATTAAAATTATTTATTAAACAGAAAAATGAAAAATTATGAAAAATTTTTCTTATATACAGGAATTCAATCCCAAATTAATAGGCTATGCACTTAGAGATGGTCAAGTTTCTGAACTATTTGCATCGCAATTAAATGTCGCCGAGATTGGTGCATTATCTAGAGATATGTCATTCATGGCAAAATATCTAATCATTAGAATGAGACGTGATACAAGAATAGATATTAACAAACATTGGAAGGTTTGTATTTTAAATAGAATTTTTATAATAATATAAAATTTTATGAAAATCATTTTATAATCATAAATATATCAAATCATATATTGACTGCTCCAAAAATGTGAAAACATAAGCATTCATAAACTGGAAATTCCTGAAGTAATTTCAAATTCAATTTTTCTTTCCAAGATAATAGTTATTGTTAACTATTAACTAGAATATGAACAAGAAACATATGTTTAAACAACATCGAAAAAAAATATATTGAATATTATAATTTATTTATTTTATTTCATGATATAATTTTTTAATTCATAAAAAAATATTTAATATATTCATAATATAATATAATATAATATAATATATATATGAATATATTCTTTTTTTAATAGTTAAATATATATACAAAGATCGATTAGCTGATTAAAATATTATAATATAATTATTTATATTAAAAAAGGCAACTATTGTGCAGACTCTTATTTACACAAGTTAATAGTAAAATTTTTAAAATTTTATTTATTATAATTATATTATTATTATAATTTTGAATGAAGTTCAGATTCAAAATATTAAAATTTTTCTATTCAAATACTGCATCTTGTTGCTAACGAAATTTATTACTCATATTATTTAACCGAATTTATTTTTTAATATTAATATTTAATTTAATATTATTTTATATTATTTTATAATTAATTTAATATTATTTTTATTTTAAATTATAGCTTTATTCGTTGAATTATAGTATGTTTCTATTCATTAAATGAATATAATAGCGAATAAATTTATTCTAAATATTAATTTTTGAAATTATCTGAATTATTGAAATTAATTTCTGAATTATACAATAAATATTTGCGAAATGAATAGATGAAAGAATTCCTATCTTCACCTAATATATTTTGTTCTTCAATTAAAGATAAAAGATAAATCCATTCTAAAAATAGAAAGATAAGTTAAATTAGACTAAATTATTTCTAATATGTATGCAGGAAAAAAAAGTAAAGTTTTAAAAAAATTTTTCAATAATAATCAAATGTTATGATATCAACTTTATTAGAAATATATGTTTTAAACAAATTTTTTCATCAATAATAATTAAATATTATAATATCAATTTTATTAAAAAATATATATTTATTCGTGGTCTATTTGTAATAATTAATAATTTTTTTTTATAATTTTAAACAATAATTTGACGACAGTTTTTCTAACAATGATTAAAACTTCTTGGAAATTACTTGAAAGTCCTTGATATGCTATATAGGGAATATTTCGTTCGAATGATAAAAATATAGTTTACTTAAATAAACGTAACAATTCTTCAATGTTAACATTTTGTTTGTTAAATATATAAATTAAAAATAAGTAAAACTTTTAAAATTAATATTAAACTAGATTATTAAAAAAATGTTTTTTTAAATAGAACAGAATATCAATTGTTATATGTAATAAAATATTAAAATGATTAAGTAATAAAAATTCTTTATGTTTTGCAGTTCATTTCATTGATGATAGGATCCAATGATTTTTGTATTAACATATGTGCAGTTTCCTCTCCGTGGTCCATTTTGGAAAAGCACAGAATCGATTTAATTAAAACTTTTCGAATATTAAGAGATAATTTACCACGTACTTTGGTATCGCTTATAATAATGCCGCATCTGAAGAATAGCATTCTTGAACACGAAAAAAAATTGTCATTGAAATGCTATATAATGTCCATTTTACAATGTCCATGCTTACATGCTTTGCAATTTCGAAATCAGAGAGAAGAATATTTTGAAATAATGAAGAGGTTTGTATATTATATAATAAATTTGTAAAATTTCTTTAATATGGTTGACAGAAAAATGTTAATGACATATCAGTATATGTTATTAATTGTTATTCCTAAAGAATAACAAATACATTCTTATTATTAATAATAATAAGAATGGACTTTTAATTTCACAGAAAAATCATAATGTACAATAGTTTAAACGATAATATATATAAGATATTATAGAAGTTTGAAAAAACTTAAAAAATTAAAATAAATCAAAATTTTAAAATCTTTATAAAATATCATAAAATGTCATCCGTTTAGTCTTGGATTATAATCAAGATCAAAATGATGGATGAAGCATCATTTTTTACCATGAAATGTTGAAACAAATAATTTAGACTTTTTCAAAACATTGATTAATAATTTAAATTTGTTGAGAATTGCCTGAATTATAAATTTTAGAAATTCGATGCCATTTTAATATTATCATTAAGAGTACAATACGTAGAGGATCTTGCATGATCAAGTTTGATTATATGTTTTATTGATTTGCTTATCATAGAATATCTCGACAAATCTATGTGCTCTATGATTGATCAGCATTTCTCGTTTGAATGTAATTCACTATATAATTCACTAACAAAGTTGAAATGAAAATTTTTGCAAAAGAAAAAGTTATAAAAATGCAAAAATATATAAATTTCATTTTATCTTATTTTTTTTTTAGGTAATAAAAATATAAAAATTTTAGTAAAAGAAAAAATTGCAAAAATACAAAAAAAACAGATTTTGATTTTATTGTATTTTTATTCTATTCAGGTGGCAAAAAATAGAAGAGGAAGTCGCCAATTATCCAGAATTTAACAGAAAAGACTTTACTATTATTGTTTCACCAGGCGTTAGTAATGTTAAAATTCCGCTTGCTGAGGATGGATTGATTGATTTATCGTATTTTTCTGCAGATTGTTTTCACATAAGTCAAAAAATGAATGCATTGAGTAAGTAAAAAAAATAATAAATAAAAATACATCTTGATTATTGAAATAGAAAAGATGAATCTAATATTTTTTATGTTACTATATACATATATATATATATATAATAATAATAATAATTTAAGACATATCATTCAAGGTGCAAATAGTTTATGGAATAATCTGTTACAACCAATTGGTAACAAGACTATTTCTTGGACTTCATTATTTAAATCATTTTTATGTCCTACTTCCAAAAGACCATATTTGATTACACGTGAAAATTCATAAATCAATCAAAATAAAAAATTAAAAATATTTATGCAAATGTAAAACTTTACATATATGTAAAATATTATGAAAATACTCTAAATATTTATGTGTAATAAATATATAAATATATATTACATATAATATAAATAATATTTAATATTTATACATGAAATATAAATGAAATACAAATATATGTAAAAAAAAAAATATTAGAAATAATTATATTATAACCAATTGGTAATAAAACTATTTTTTAAATTCCAATTTGAATTATTTTTTTTTGTCCTATTTCTGAAAGGCATTGATGACACATAAAAATTCATAAGAAAATTATAAAAAAATTACAAATTATTTTGTATAAAATTCAATATTGTAAAAATAAAAGTTTTATTGCCTTTGAACATTGGTTGAAATGTATTTTCAATTATTTTTTTACATTTATGTTTTTTTACATTATTTATCATCTATCTAATACCTCTTCTATTAAATTACATCTAATTTCATGTCTACTTTCATGTCAATAATCATATCAAATAATTTCTATCTACTAATAATTATTTTACCATGTTCTATAGATTTTTTGAAAATATTTTTCTTATGGAATCATAATTCAATAATATATGTAATACATCTAATCTAAAGTATCACATGATCCTCATATGAGTTCATTACTTAAATTATAATAAATAATATAATACAAATATAAAATTTTTATGAAAAACTACCAGTAAATGTTGTAACGAACTCCCGATATTTTCGGAAAGAAATTTTCAATATCGATCAGAAAAATGGATCAAATTGATAGTAAGTAAGGAAATAATTAAATAATGCATGCTCATGTTGATTTTATATAATTTATTTATTGAATAAATCTTTTATCATGATAATTAGTAATTTATTGTTTTTTTCATTAATGATTCCGATAAAAGTATTTGCAATCGTAGCATCATCATAAATTTTTCACTGTCATATTTATTATCCTTCTTAAATATCCTGACAGTAGGAACAATTATATAAACGCTTACAAAATGTCTATTTAAATTGTTTGTATCTTTACTTTTAAAATTCAGATCGAATATTATTGTCATGATTTTCAAGCTGGAACAAGTTGAGAACTCTTAGTACAGAATCTTCAAAATGAGCACTACTGAATGAGTTCTTAATTCCACTTAGCATTCAGAGATGTCACAATCGACAAGTTTTCATTAACCGCAAGTATTTAGTTTAACCACAGACACAGATTAAATCTAGTCTGTGATTTAATCTCAAATACAAATTGTATTACATAAAAGCTATTTATATCACAAATTTCATCTATATCGCTATATATATTCTTATGCTACAACTATCGATGAAAATAGACCTATCGTCCAATATATTTTCATATCTCACATTTTTGGATTTAGAATTACATTACCATTTTACTATCATTTTCAATGTTACCAATTCAGTATAAAATAAGATTACAACGCTTGTGGTTGGAATTGAAATTAAATTTCAATTTTTTGGAGTCTTATCAATCTCATTATTATTTTATTGTCATTCTCAACGTTACCGATTTAGTAGTATATAAAACAAGATTATAATAAGAAGTTTACCATGATTAGAATTGAAATTAAATTTTAATTTAAAGTTACGAAAATAGAGTATAGAACAATAATTATTTATACTCAAACAAAATATTGTATAAATAAAAAATCATAATATTTCATAAGAAAAATATAATATTTTATTTTGAAAATACTTATATACTTATATGTTTATTCTTAAACAGTATTTAACAGTAATTTTAAATAGAATATACTATACTTAAGTTTTATATAAACTATATTTTCAAAAATAAAATTATATTTTTTCAGATTTTGAATGAAATGTTTAAAATATTATTTATAATATTTCCAAATATTTAAAAATTATTTGACTTTATTAAAAATTAAAAATTAAGTGGTGAAATATAGTAAATAGATATTTATAATTATACGATACTTTTGACAATACAAAGACAATAGAACCAAAATAAATAAAATAAAAAAAGTTGAAAAAAAATATAAAAAATGTCAAAGATTATTTATTACATTACAAACAATTTAAGTTTTTATTAGATGAAACGAAATTTCAAGACAAAAGAAACAAAATTACAAAGAAAAACTATTTCTATATACCAATTTTTGTATTTATTTTAACATCTAAAATTAGCTCTTCAATGATGTCCCACAAATATATTTATTTTATATTTTATAAAAATATTTTAAAGGAGTATACATAGAATAATAATATATTTATGGCATATCTTTAAAATACAACAATTAATATATAAATATATCGATTAAGATTTATTTATTAAAATATAAATAAATGAAATTTAATATTTAAAAGCAAAACAGTGGTAAACTGAGATAACTGTATTTCTGTTACATTGTCATATCATTTCGCTTTATCTTCATCTTGGTTCATCTAACGCAAATTTAAATTGTTTATAAAATTAATAAGTTTTGTATATAATTTTTGTATCTTTATGTTTATTTATTTGATGTTCAGAATAAAATGGAATAGATCAATAGTATTCCATGAATATAGTATATTAATATTATATATATTAAATATGAGAAGTTTAATAAAAAATGTTAAGGACAAAAAACAAGATGGCTAAGAATTTTCAATAGTTTAGATTTTAGTATAATTTACGAACCAATACAATTCTTTCATTTTTTCACATTCTCAATAGCAATCATTCGAAACTAATAGCAATGATTCATAAGTCACATTTTATGACAAACTACTAGAAATGATTGCAAAGATTCTGATCTTTATGCGCAACAATGTGAAGTTTTATCTTTGAAAATGTTCAACGCGATCATTCTTTTTAAGTTTAATTTGCACTGAAAATAATGATTAGAGGAAGAACCAAGATCTGTAACAGTTTTCCAAAATGATAGAATCTAGATAGTGTTAAGATCAAATTGATAGTTGGAATTCAGATACTGTGCAGATCAAATCAACAGTTAGAGAAATCGCATTTAATTGGTCATGGAAATCAGTCAAATCAGAATAATCAAAAATTGGAATTCAGTCAACAAACAATTAAAATTAATCACCATTAGTTCATTCAAAATTTATAATATAAATAATTGTATAATCTTATAAATATAAATGGTTTTTTAATATTTTAAAATAGTATTCAGACACTCTTTTTGTGCAATCACATCTTAGTTGAACTTCAACAAAAGATATTTAGATAAAATATGAATATATTATACAGGAATCCTAAAAAAATGTATGTCCTATGGAACATAGGATAATAAATTAATAATAAATTAGAGATTTTTGAGATAATTTCAAGCAATATTTTTCTTTAATGAAAAACTTTCGTTAATGAGTTATATTATATAACAAAAAACAGATATATCGTGAGACATCTTTGATCTAATCAAAGAAGGATCAAAACAAACACAAGCTTATTTATTAAATAATTAATTTAAATTAGTGAAACAAAATACAGAATAAGGCGAAAATGTAATAAAATTAAATCTATTTCATTTTATGCCTTACTTTATCTAATACAAACTTTAATTGTTTATAACTTAAAAAATAAATTTTGCCAATATTTTTATATACCAACTTTTGTATTTATTTTGGTTTCTAAAATATTTTTCAAAGATGTTCCACAAATATTGATAAGACAAATAATTATAAATATTTTGCTTTAATTTTCTGTTATTTTGAATGAACAAATTTTTTAGATAGAGCTTAATGATTTCAGAAAGAGCATATTTTGATGTTATTAATTTTTTTTTATAAGCAAATGCATAAAACACACATGAAGATCATTAATTTCTTTTAAATGGGATCACATAACATATATACCAATGATGATATTTTCTATAAAATATTATTACTTATATCCAAAAATTATTAATTTAGAAGATATTTTGAAGTTTGTCAAATTTATCGTATAAAAAATATGAATGTTGAATATTGTAAGTTCGTAATTCATTATATAAATAGAATTCTTTACATATTATAAATTAAATGATTATTATATTATATTATATTTCTTTCATATATAGCCAAAATATATTGATATATATTAAATCATTAAAAAGTAATAATAAATCTAAAATGATCTAAAAATTAAAGATTCATCGAAAAGTAATAATATATTGTATTTTATTTTAGAATTTTCACAAAGGAAAAGGAATTGTAATTTATAATTAATTAGGATATTAAAGATAATTTAAGCTAATAAAAAAAATTTTTAAAATTATGTATCAATATATTCTAATTTCTGTTAAAGATTTTTCGAAATAATTTATATAGTTTTTATAATTTAAAAATTTTTTCGTTTAATGAAAATAGTTTATATATTTTTTTTATAAATCCATTATATAATCCAAATAAAAAAACTATTTTTATTAAATAATAAAAAAGGACATTAAAAATGATTAAAGATTCTTACGTAATAATATTCCAAATATAACATTTGATATTTTAACGATTATATAATTATGATAAATTTTTTGGTATAGGTTATAGTGCTACGAATCTAATGACATTTCAATATTTATTTTATGATATAAGATTATTATTTTAGAATGTTAATGTACATAAATAAACTAGAACAGATTTTTAATTAGTTGTTATATAATATAATGTTCATATTTTATATTTTATTATAAATTTAAAAATATACAATAAATTTTGAAAAGTTACAAAAAAAAGTTACATGAAAATATTTTGAATTAAAAACTTTTATATTTCGCTAATTAGATGTTTTATATTTTGTATGTCGAATGCAGGATTACAATAAGCAAAAAATATATGATTTCGAAATGTAGATATTATATTATATACGGTAGAATTAATAATAGCCAAAAGGATACATTAATATACACGGTTATACAAGCTATCGATTTTGGGCAATATGAAAATGTCAAATCAATGAATAAATTTTGCAAAGTTCTCTTTACTTGTCTGGTGAGTTACCTTTATCTTTTATTCTCTTTCTCTCTCTCTCTC